TGCTTCGAATCTAGCATACATCTTCCGACAAACAGCGTCAGGCAATGTCGAATTTCGAGCCCTCGACTTTTCAAGGAGTATTGATGCGGACGAGAACAGCCTTGAGCGCGCAAGCAACGATACTGTTTTACCTTTCTTCGATGGTAGTTCCAAGAGCACTGCCTTTGGTGCTGCGAGAACGGCGAATGGCTCTGTTCTCGTGTATGCAGGTGACTGCGAAATTGGCAGCGGCGATGTCTGGAGCTTCGACTATAGCAACGATCAAGGCGAGTGGTCTCGTCGGGGTCTCAAGAACGGCGGCGATACCCGTCGAGCACCGTACTTCCTCGGTGGTACTGTTGCATTTTCCTCCAGCCTCGCGCCTGACATGGACCAGCCGACTCTTTATACTTATGGTGGAATGTGCGAGACATCCGAGTCTGGAAGTGATGCGACGAACTGGCAGAGTAATGCCAACTACACCAAATCGATGCTGAGACTCGCACCTCATGATAGCGATGCTTTTACCTCGTACGAGATGAGCGTTGCTTCCAGTGGCGGACCAAAGACACCCATTGCGGGCTTCACTCTAACTGGTCTCACGCCCTCGATGACCAATAAGTCTGGCATCGTGACGCAGCAGATGAGTTACGTACTTCTTGGTGGACATACCAAGACAGCCTTCATAAACATGAGCACAGTCGCTGTATGGAATCTTCCCGCTGAGTCGTGGAGTTATGTCAACATTCAAGCTCCAAACGTTGATATGCCAAAGTCAGATCTTGCTGTTAAGGATAAAAGCTCTCAGAATCGTCGCAGGAGCACAAACACTGCGGATAATGTCTACAGTCGTTCTGGCCATACTGCGACGCTCAGCGAGGATGGAAGCTCTATCATTGTTATAGGAGGTTGGGTTGGTGATGTCAATACCCCTGCTGAACCACAACTTGCTATCCTCGAAATGAGCGAGATCTACAGCGGATGGCAGTGGAAGATCCCTGATGAACAACCTGACTTCAATGGAATCTACGGCCATGGCGCTGCAGTATTGCCAGGAAATATGCTCATGATCTACGGCGGATGGGAGTCATCTGATTCTTCCTCACGAAAAATCAAGCGTCAAGCCTCGTCTGGAACACTTCGCTTCTACAATATCACGTCAGGTTCATGGGGATCCCAATACACGAATCCAGTCTCTAGCTCATCGGATGATGATAATGACGCCCCCAAGGACGATAACAAAGGATCAAACTCGAAGCGCCTCGGCCTCGGTCTCGGTCTAGGCTTTGGTATCGCTGCCTTGATCGGCATTATCATTGGTGCTCTATGCTGGTACAAGAGACGCAAACGACATATCAGCAAGCGAGAAGAGGCTGTCAGAGCACTATCTCAAGATCCCAATTACTACAACAACGAATACCCCGAGATGATGGAGAATGATCCTTGGGGGCTCGATAGTGCCCCTTGGTATGGCACTGGTGAAAGCCCTTATGCCGCTGGTGAGCGATCCCTAGGTTACGAGTCTATGAGAGGCGCTCGAAGTGGTCTCCCTGGACTTCACATTCCACACAAATCTATGGCAAGACCGTCACGAGGAGGTTATGTACCTACGGGACCACGGCCTACAAGTTTCCCGGGTCCAATTCATCCGATCTATGAGGACGATGAAGAGGAACCCTATCACAACCATGGCCTTTATGATCACGTCCCGACACCTACATCAGAGGCCCCTTCAGATCCTTTCCAGACTCCAGTCGCAGGCGTGGAGCCGAATAATGTTCCTCACCCCATTTGCCTGACTCCTGGAGGTGGTAACAGAGCCTCAGCAACACCTAGCCCTGAGAGTCCACGACATGATCCTGAGGTTCAGGATTGGGTTACTGAAGTTGATGCTGCAGAAGGACTACTTGCACGTATGAATAGTCGACGAAGCCAACACCAGAATGTACAGAACCTTGATAGCGCTGAAGGCTTGCTTGCGCGCATGAATAGCCGTCGAAGCCAGAACCAAGGAAGCGCCGGTCACAGCCAGGGTCGTTCTTCACCAACACGGCATAACTCAACCCGCTCAGCTGCTCTGCGAGATGATGAATCACGAAGCGGATCTAACCTGTCCGAGTCAGCACGAAGCGCCGCAGAAAGCATCAAGGCTAAAGCACGTCAACTCAACCCTCTCGCTCCAGCGTTCCTAGCAGCTGGTGCCGAGCACCCTAAGCCAGGCAGTTCGTCGTCTAGTAGCTACAACACAGCCCGCTCGTCATTTGGTGTTCTTCAAGCAGAGGGTCCTTCGTTACTTATGGGAGACCGAGCTCCTCGCTACGATGATGATGAGCCCTCGTCGCCATCCAAGTCAAAGCCACGTAGGGGATGGCTGGGCTCTCTTCGACGAGTGTTCTCAGGGGCTAGTACCCCAACATCTTCCCGCGAAGATATGTCTGGCGTGCGACGTTCGTTTGACCAAGAACCTGTGACTGGTGACTACGAGCCCGGTCTGGTTGGTCTACGCGGCGAGCTTCTTAGAAGGAAGAAAGGTCGACAGGATTGGGAAGGTGTTGAAGTCGGACCGCATGATACTATGATGTCTGGTGGAGCCGGACCCGAGCCTGGAGCTGAGTCTGACTGGGACATTGAGAAGGCTGTTGAGCAGCGATTGGTGCAGGTCATGTTCACTGTCCCTCGAGAACGATTAAGAGTTGTTAATGGCAACGAGGAGGGAAGTGATCGAGAGGATGAGGTGCCGATGAAGCCACACAAAGCTGAGTTTGTTGATCCAGATAACGAAAGTCAGACATCGGGAGGTGTCAGTATTCGTGAGAAGCGGGATGAACGTGAATTTGGACATGCAGGTATTCGACCGGTGACGGAACCAAAGAGGGGCGAGGAGGAGATCAATGAAAAGCAATCGCTTGTTCAGGATGACCAAGAACAGCTGAATGAGAGGCGGCGTCTTGAGGAGGAGAGACAACGACTGATGGATGAGAAGCGTGCTGAGGAACAACGTCTGGCAGCAGAGCAATTTCGACAATCACAACAGAAGGAAGAGGAGTCTACAAAGAGAGAGCAACCACAATCTACATCACAAGAACAACAGCAACCTCCTACAGAAACACTACAACAACCGAAACCCCCTCATCTTCAACCTCCTCAACCTCTCTTCCAGCGCAGCTCCCGGGAATCTTCACCATCGTCATCACCTTCTTCCTCTCCTCTTCTATCTCCTGACCACCCCTCTCACTCAAGACGACACACACGAGGCAACTCAAACAATTCAGTCGGCGGCTTCCTCCACCCAGACCTAGCTCCATTAGAACCACGCTTCTCACACGAAACAGATCGTTCCTCGGGCGTTCTTCTCGAAGCTCAAGCGGTTCCTCTCACGCGAGAACGAGCTCGAACACGTGTCTTGGCTATGGTCGATAGTTTCGAGAGTCTAAGTCGTGAGAACAGCCCGAGTCCCACACGGTTCCAGTAGAAAGAGAAAGATGCATAAGGTTCTGCACAGAGCACGGATTTGTTATTTTGGTTTTGCAGGGTGTTTGGGTGCAGGATAACTGGAACATAGGGATTGCTTGATTTGGAATTCGCTTCAGCATTTTGGAAGCTTCAGGGCATATTTGATTTGGATTGTCATGAGTCTTGGATTTGTATATATATCATAACGTATCTATGTGCTCAAGATTCTACCCTACAATTGGGATACGATTGAAAGACAGGAATTCGCTTTACACTTTCATGCCTAGTCTTGACTTAGTGCTTTGCCATCTCTAACCTCCTTGAGTAATGTTACTGTCTGTAAAGTGTTCCACAACCAGTGATATTCTGGACTCACCACTTGAAGCCACGAGGATATCCACAAACTTAAGACTCCATCGTTTTCGACCGTAAACCAGTTTGTTTCCTACAACGCTCCCACTTTCCGCGATATCTTGACTTAGTGCATCTCCACGACTAATTTGCAAAGTCATCGGCCACGTCAAATGTGGCGTTCTACGCCTCAGGAGCTTCGGTTCTGCCCTATTCAAGCGGTGGACAGCTTGACACCACGCGCGATTCATGTTGCCTCAGGTTTCGAATCCAGCCATAGATCGCGTGGGGCGATGACCGGGGGAATAGATCAAAAGGTCATGAGTTAGATATAGGCATGGATAGAGGCGAATAGCTTCGCTGGGAAGCTAGATTTGATCACGAGTTCTTCAGTGAGGGCCATGAAACTCATGACAGCAGTCATATTCGTGTCACGGAGATGAAAAGTGCAAACTGTAGTTCCAGACCAAGAAATGAAGAATATACTTTTGGCCGCTATCTCAACCTCATCGCCCGATGCATTTATGCTAGCTCTATGTACGTAAAAGTGACCCCAAACTGACAACGACGACCTGCATATTATATCCAGACTTTGAAGTCAACACTGAGCGCCCACATAAGTCATTTAGACTCGGCGGCTCTGTCACGCCCTTCACAGGTCGCTCTCCCTCATCCATTGTGTCATAATTGCTTGGTCGAGGTCGCCGTTGTCGTGATGCCGTAAAGTATAAAATCCGAATCGAAAATTAAGCCCCGGTTTCTGCCGTCATGCATGACCTTTCCAATAGTGCTGTGCGAAGCAACAGTCACTTGGCTCGCTTGTGTATGTACCATACCATGATCCCGCCAGTTGCTGGGGGCGTTCGTCCCATGTTCCGTTGTGTATGTAATCCCCCTTGTAAAATGCCAACGCCTTCCTGGTATCTCGAAATGCAACAAAACCCCCTTGGGTTTTAAAAGTGAGCCGGGAGAAAGTGAGATTCGTGTGCTTCATGGGTCATTGTGACCATTTTATCTGCTCGTCTGGAACATCTTTCATTATCCATTCCAGAAAATTCCGCTAGGCTCCAGAGATTTATGTTGAGTAATTAGTCTCAGTCCAGCGTGATGCCGTGACCTTGATCAGATAGACAAGTTCCTCTTATCGTAGTCTCATCTTATACAAGATGGCCTTTGGAGCCCAGCGGAATTTCCGGAGTTGCCGAAAACCCTGTCGGTCAAGGTTCGGGTGTTGGATCGGGGTTTGTTGCACGGAGCACCTTCGGTGCCTGAATCCTCCTCGAATAGTCGTGGTCATCTCGCAATGTGTTGATACTCTCATGACTTGCGCTTCGAACGTACAATCCTTGCTTAAATGGATCCATTCGAGGATCGACTTGCAAGGTACTGTTACGGCTTCCTGCCGCGGCTGATGCAATGGGTGATCCAGCCATGCTCATATCAGGTCGTGCAATGCCCGAGGAGCTATCTCGAACACTGGGGTCGTCCTGATAGGCTTCTTGTTCGTTCTGTTGCTTCTTACGGCGGAACCACAGGAATAGGGCGAGGGCAGCGGCACCTATGACTGCTGCAATCACGCCTACCACGATGCCGACAACTTGGCCAGTGCCAAGTCCACTCTTCTCGGTAGTTTCGCCATTGGTGTGTTCGCTTGCGGTTGTTCCACCAGTCTCCGTCGGCGCTGCCACAGTGACGGTCCTGATAGTACCGCCAGCAGTGACAGTCTGAACAACAGAAGTGCGCGAACTAGATGTAGTTGACTCATCCTCGGCTGTGCTAGTAGCTGAGGTTTCGTTTTCGGTCTAAATAGGTAGTTAGTGTCTGTCCTAATTCTATTTATTACATCACCGGATTCCCGAGGCGAGATAACATGCGTGTTGAGACAAGGCATACAGTTGAGGTTGTTTCTGGCTCCGAGCTGGACGTGGACGTGGAGGTCGTTGTGGATGTGGATGATGGCTTCAGAGTCACCGTATTCTGTATTGTCTCAGTCACTCTGGATACGGCCACGGTGGTTGGTTTTGCCTGAGGATTGCCTGTTAAGCCGTGGTATCTTACCAACCGCAGAAGGGTTTGAATGGACTGAGATGTACAGGTGGAGAGTTGGGTAGGCAGACACTCGTCCGATCACGGTATGTGCGGCGATCACAACACGAAACATGATCATATCACAGGATTTGACTTACTTTGGTTGATGAGGGGGAAGGGCCCCTTGAGCCGGAAGGCTCGACTTTGCCTAGAGACACATATCCGTATACTCCGTTACCACCGCAGACTTCATCAGGCCACGCTGGGCAAGGAGTATCGCACTTGGAGTTGTCCTCGTGGGTTGACTTCACAGGTGCGTAATTTGAACACCAGCATAGCTTGTCCTGGGTGATGGCGTATGCCCAGTCATCGATACAGAAATCATGGCAAAGGCCATTTGTCTGGTAAATGCTCGTATCTATCAGTATGGTTAGAGGTTGCAAGTCGTCGTATGCGAAGGGGTTACATACTCCTGGGGGTCTCGCCAGTATTGTAGCTAGCACAATATTCGATGTCCAGGGCGGCGGCTAGAGGTGCCCATAATGATACTATTAAGAGCAAGCTGGCCTGTTGGGCATGCCTGGAAAGAGGAGACATGATGATTATGACTTGGTCAAGAAAACTAAATTAAGCCAAAGGTTAGAATGTGTCGAGTTGAGGGGAAGCAAGGAGAGCCTAGGCAGAAGGAGGATGTTACACACCTTTACCAAAGAAACTGAGCAAGAGAGCATGTGAGGTCGGGTGCGACAGAGATGAAGCAGCTATTCAGAACATAACACGGTCGCGGGAGACTCTCAGATAGTCGAAGCCATACCACGTCTGATGTTGAGAGATGTAGTACTACCGGCAGGTGTGATTTCGCGTGGGTAGATGTCCCGACGCCGGAGCAAGACAGCCGGTATCGTCAATCGTGATCCGGTTTGAGCAAGGTAACACAATGAAGTGACCAAGCAGGTTGTATGTGAATCACCGGGAGATCGGTGGCTTTTCGAAGATGGGATTTAGATTCGCGATGATCGGGTATCGTGTTTGGTTCGAGATGAAAGTATTATCGATGGATGATTATTGATAACCGGTGGGTGCCAGTAATGAGTCGAGAGCTTCCTGAGGCTCAAATGGTTGTCGATGAATAATTCGGGCAGTCCTCGTAGATTCCAGCTGCCAACACAAGCGAATGGTCGGTATGATACGATGCGATACAATACGATCCCAAAACTTGAACAATGCCAATATTATCCCAAGACGAAAGAAACCCAGATCCAAAAATCACCACAAGGGTAAAAGAACAGAGACCAATTCCCAGCCAACGAAATAGATATCGTGGAGATGATTAGGAGGGGAGGTTGGGTGTGATTGTGAAATAGGTAGAGGTAGAGAGTTGAACGTTGGAATACGTGACAAGAGGTCGAGGTCGAGAAGGGGAGATTTGGGAAGGGAAAAGGTGTGAGGGAAGTAGCGACTGGAGTGGTCAAATCAGGTAAGAGCTAGGTAGGTATCTGTACCTAGCACGGTAGTCCCGGGCCCTAGTGGAGGGGCGGCGGCAGCAGCGACCGGGATGGGAAACAAGGAAGGAGGAACGAAGACGAGCGATGAACTTTCTAACCAAATTTGGCCCAACTTGAGAAGAGAATAGGGCCTGGGAATAGCGACGGACAAGAAAATTCTAGGGAGTAACCTAGGCAATCGATAAATTGGATTGTCGATTCTTGTAGAAGGATCGATATATTCCTTGGAGCGGTCCTCAGTCGATAGTTTGTCAACGACTCCTACCTCTGAAGAACGAACGCCCTGGTAGAAAAAGATACTCTTGAATAGAGTTGCACTGGAGGTCACGATACGACCTGGCAACAAAGTCCAAGAGTACGTACCGTCCAAAGTATCGCAGGGGTCGTGAGACCAAAAATGGAATGGTTCTAATACTCAGCTGCAAAGCCAAGGCTGGGCAGACAAAGGAGGCTCCACGCTCTGAAAAGAACCAAGGAGAGGGAGTCAAGATGAGCGGGAAGAGACCGATCCGATGGCCCAGTAGGTAGTTCCCTTTGAGCGTGATTGATGAAAGAGGTGATAGTGGTGGGCAGTAGTGCTATTATCTCGGCGTAAAATGGCCGTTTTTTTGTTTTTTTTTTGTTTTTTTAGGTTGAGTGAGTGTAAAATGAGGTGGTAGCAAAAAGGATTGAATTTAGAATGAAGGGTAATGAACGAATTGAAAGGAATGAAGGACAAGTCAATTGTGCGTAAAAAAAGAGAAGAAGAGAGATAGATAATATTACAGGAAAGGAACTTGAAGAAATTGATTGAGCCAGAAGAGGTAGAATTGATCGACTTGAAATTACCTGAGGTAAGCAATCCTCGCGTTGTTGCTGGTCAACAGCAGGTCCAGTATGAAGCTGTCCACAGAATCACAGTGACGAAACGATTTTCACATATTATGAGATACACACAAGGCTTGAAATCCGATATGATCTTCTCCAGCTTCAATCACAATCACAACTCGACAGAGAAAAAAAGAAAATTCATTAAATAAAATAAGATAAAAGATGGGCCCTCGTTTCGCAAGCTCCCCTATCCTTCCAACAAGACACTAAAACACGAGGCGCCCGTGGCCTCATATGATGCCTGTAGGTCACTGCTGAGAGCGCTGTTGGCTCCAGTGCGCGCTGTTGTTGTTTTAGGGAGTGACAGTGCTTTGGCTTGGTTGGGTTTTATTACGGGAGGTTGAGAGGGGGCGTGTCGTGTCATATCGTGTGGAAGTTGCAGGGGCATCAAAGACGAGGGAGTGGGATCTGCATGGGCCCTGGACAAGGGTGTGAGCGGCGATCTTGATAGAAGCGAAGAGTAGGAGAAGTACTAATACTAATACTAATTCTGTTGCGGAGTGTTGCAAGAGCCCGTCCGATAATCGCAATTCGTGGTCAGAAATGTGAATATGTATGGTGATGTGGTATGGGAAAGGTGATCCTTGTAAACCGCCATTTTGTCTATATCTTTCACTGAACACTCTGTTAATTAATTAAATATTAAAATAATTCTTTTTATTAATACAAAATAGCCTAGTCTTCAAACATAATCAGTTGGCTTCTACCTTTTGGCTTTGGCTTGCCGCTACCTTTATGGGCTTGAGGAATTGAAATTGGATAGTGACAACCACTTCACTCTCTTCTCGGCAACTCTTTATCCGGATTGACCTCAGCCCTTGGCACTCTTCTCCTTGATTCAGTACATCGAAAGAAAGAACATCAAAGTCATAGATCTTCTTTCTCCGCTTCATCTCCTCCTCCCATGACGCGCAGATGGCCCTTTATTACAACGGACAACGCTAGAACGAGATTATTGAAACACAACCTTCTAAAGATCTCGGCGTTTTGCTGTCGCTGTTGAACGCTAATTCGCGCTCCAACCAAGATCTCAGTTAAGATAACTTGACAGAATTATAACAACCCCAATAGACTGGATATTGGTGTATATTTTTGGTTAACCCCCATGCCCGTCATCTTGTTTTGACTCCACTGTTCCCACTCTCCAAACGCGCGATAGATATCGTGAGTCTAGCGGCTCTTCTTGGCTATGGAACCATTCCTCATTGTGTAAAAAACATCCCATTCTCTTCCATCGAAGACGACAGAATGCAGCAATTGGGAGAAACAAGGTTGCCGTGCATCCCGCTGTATTACAACTTGACTCTTCCCGCTTCTAAGCACTACTCTACCCTAACCTTTTGTCTCTCACTATCCCCAACATAGAACTCACTCACATGAACTAGTGCCTGAGTTCAGCGCCGCGCCGTTGAACGTGGCATCGCCCAGGTCAGGAAACGGTGACCTACCGTAACGGGCCATTTCCGGCCCCTTTTTGTAAGTTTTGCGTTTCTAACCAAGACGATCCCGTCGCCGGACAGAGTACGGAGTAGAGAGCAAGTTGATGGTTGTGGGTGAGAATTATGTGCAGAGGCCCAAAATGTTTGATCGGCATCAAAAGCAGTGAATATCTCGCAATATCTCTGGCTTCTCCACAATCCACAGACCATAACCAAAATCCCTGCTCGTGGGGCTCGTGGTTTCAGTCATTTTGGAGCCGGCCCGCGGCAGGGAGAGAGGCCTAGAGAGGGAGCATGGATTATAATGGGCTTTACAAGGTTGTAAGTGGGATAAGGTTGGAGAGAAACATGAAATAACATGCGCGAAACCATTCGGCCATGTTCTTGGAGATTCCCGCATGATAGTGAGCGATCGCGATCGGTTTAGTTACTCCATAGAGAACAGAATAAGCCTCTTCTTTATCTTTATCTGAATCTTTTCCATGTTAGTTACCAGTCAATCATGTGTCAGGAATGGCCTTTTATCTTGACGCAGAAACTTGCCCTTGCAATAACACGAGCATTGACCCGTCTCCCCGCTCTCGTATAGTCAATCCATCAGATCATAACCCTTGACAATTTTAAATATTTTGCTATGGTCAACAATACTGGACTGGACAATACGCGGAAGCGAGTCTCCCTTTCAATATTCGACGTCACTGATAGAGAGATTTCTCACAGTCGTGGTCGTGTGACTGGAGATCTAACTTACACCTGTAATTTTCTGACCAGGCAACAATCTACTCAGTAGCTCCAGTTCTCTCTTCCGTCTGTCTAGTCTAGCTGATTCAAGGTTATTAGCTTGAGGGTTTAAACTTACAAAGAATCCATCCATTGCCTTGTCCAGCTGAACACGTAAACCAACTTGAGAATACGTATCTTTTGGAACAAAGTCAATTGACAGATAGCCTTGGTATGCTGACACGCTAAAAGGTTTGTCTAGTCCATCTTGAGACGACGTTGCTACGGTTCGGTCTTTTTCTGTGTGGAAAATGGCACGATATGCACGATATGGTGGTGAAGCTTAGAAATGGCTGGAGTTTGTGAACCTCTTGTTCTAAAATCCGGGGCATTTGCATCTATAGCAGCAGCCTCTTATTATCGATGATGACGATCAAAAACTTGGCACTTGCGTAATATTTCGACCAGTTATTATCCAGGAACCGTCGCCTTTGATTTTGTATGTCACTGGCGGCCCAATAACCTCATCACACTCTCATCTGAAGAGGCATTATGATTACTACCTATGCTATAGATGTCTTGTACCTACACCAGCTTTCAATCTCACTCACATTCTCAGTAGCCGACTTCAGCACCACCATCAAGCCCAACACGAACTCCAACTGCCGCCAAGTGCAGTCACTGCTACCCCATCTCTGCAGACGGGTACACCCTCTTCGTCGCGCTTGTGTCCAATTGTCCAATGGCGTAGCTAGTTCTTCCGATTTCTTGCATGTGTATCGTATTTCTCGAGAACCCTTCTCTTGTCAGAACTGACCTGACCTGACCTGACCTGAACACGGGCGTGGCAAAGATGCTTCGAAATGTCTCAACCTACGACGCTATTCCCAACCAAATTCTCGGTTGTGTGCTTGGAGAGTCACGCAAGCGAAGATATGCGTGGGGGCATTGTCACGATTCTCTGTATACTGTAGTCTCTGTGTTATGTCTCGTGAAAATGTCGGCATCATCGAGCCGTAAACCGAGGCTGTCACCATAAATATCTTGGCCGCCACATCCGCCATGTTTCTCTGACCGCTGCCCATCATGACTGCTCTGTATCACGTTGTCTTGTGTAGTTGAGGCTCCGTTGTTTAACTTTACTAAACTCTGACATATTCGCACATGTCAATAGCCTGTCCTTCTATCAACGTAGTGACTTCTCGGCTCTAGGTTGTGTTACGAGGCACAACTGCCTTGCCTGTCTTTGCTTAGCCGACGAACCTTGATGTACTGTACAACGCCCTTTGTATGTACTATTTTTCCTCTATGATGCTTGAGTGAGAATACATGATTCCTTCATGTTGAGGGAAAGGGCTATCACAGGCAAATCACAAGCTCAACCACTGTCGCTAATGCGTGTTTAGCTGCGCCGCTTCACCAGGAGAATGCGACTTCAGGGTCCGCAATCTGCAATCCGCCCGCCACCAGCGGCAGTCGGTCGATGTACTACGCAGTAAGTTGCATTGTGAGGATGTAGAGGGGCTCAATTTTTTTTGGTTTTCCGCTCAAAGGTTCCGGAGCATTTTGTAAACTGCAGTATCGTGGAGTTTTGTCTGGTGTGATATTCAACTGTCTCCATTGTGCAGTCCACGTAACCGTTCTGTAGTTTACGTCTCTTTATATCATAGATTCGTACATCTCAAAGCTAAAGATACGGCATGTGGGAGAGATACTCCAGCTTTCCACGACGACGATGGAGCATTTTTTAAACATATAAGCTCGGTCGAGTAGTCTAACTTACTTGTTGGGTCTGGTTCTCCTTTTGACATGCGTGTTCTATCGTCTTTTCAGCGTCATGGCCCTCCCACTAAGTGAAACACTCGGTCGGGATCTTAGTTGAGATAATGGGGCAGAGCCGCAAAACAAAACTTTGGTGAACGAACTCATTCGAGACCTTTGACTCCACAGGCCCGGCTTGCCAGAGAATACTTTTTTGATTACTTGATGAGATGTGGTTCTTGAAAACATATGAAATATGAATGCAGTTCTGAAATGGGGAATTGGTCTAGGGTAAGCACATTTCACAATGTTTTGTCATGTCTTGACTGGGGTAAGTTGTAACGATAGCGCTTTACAGCTGACCACTCACGGTCTTCAGCTGTTGCAGGAGGCACCGCAGGGTGGCCCAAGCTCCTTAGCTCTATGTCATCGCCTAGGTCGGATGCGTCTCCACGATCCTTGAGATACGCATCATCAGCCTTGCCAAATACAATATCAACATTAACAACAAACATCGATACATGAATCCTAAGCCTCACAACACTGTTTCAATACGCGCAACTGAATAACTGAGCCTGGAGCTCTCTACAATACCTTCGCTTTACCTGCCGATGTGACTGGTTGACCGAAAGGTCCCTTCCGGCCCCTCCGGCTTCGACCACACTCAGCTTGTTGATATGGTCGCGATATCAGGCCTTCGGAGTCTTTCGACTCCTGTGAATCGAACTCGACGTCTTCCTATGATACTCGGAGGTGCTGCATTCTTCATCATGTGTATCATCTATCTCCTTCTCTCCATCGCACCTTGCATGGTGTATGGGAATTGCTACCGTGGTTATTCAAGTGCTTACAGCTTCGATGCTGACTTGGCTCACAACCCGACCTGGATGGCCGACATTCCCGACGATGTATTCCTTTCGAGCCTTAGTATACCGGGCACACACGACACAATGACCTATGAGATAGGAACCGAGATTCTTCAGTGTCAGAACTGGAACCTGACTACCCAGCTGGAAGCAGGTATTCGTTACTTCGACATCCGCGCTCGTGTGCGTGATGACGAGTTGCATATTTACCATGCTAATGGCTACACCGGCTTCAGCTTCGAGGATGTAGTTGGCTATATGAACGACTTCCTGGATAGGAACCCCTCCGAGACGATCATCATGCGCCTCAAGCAGGAAGGTAACGGCATTGGAGACAACAACACTCTGTCATTCGAAGCTGCCTTCAACCAATACCCACTGGGAGATCGACTGTACAACTACAGCGCTTCCGAACCCCTGCCAACTCTTGGTAGTCTTCGCTCCAAGATCTTTGTTCTTCAGAACTTCCCAGCTTGGCGAGGAGGACCATATGGTGTGAAGTGGGAAGGTCATCAAATGATTCTAGAAGATAAATGGATCATCCCCGATATCTACCACCTGTCGGAGAAGTGGACTGCGATTCGCGATGCTCTCGAACTCGCCGCAACAGCAGCTCTCGACAACAAAGTCCTCTATTTGGCACATATCTCAGCCTCTGTCGGTGTCTTGCCCATCGAGGCTGCGGCTGGGCCTATGAACCGGACTGTCACTGGTATGAATGACATGACTGGCCAGTGGATTAAGGATTTTGAAGACAACCCAGACACTACCAGGACTGGAATCGTCATCATCGATTTTCCCGGCAAGAAGTTTATTGATGCCATACTTCGATGGAACAAGTCATATACAAAGAAACAGGCATAAGGCCAACCGATCATTGGTTGTGCTTAAGCCCTCACCTAGGACTAAGGTCTCACGTCTTGATACACCCCAAAGCCCGGTCGTTGGTTATTGTCAAGCTTTCTCATCTGAGACTCTGACGTCACACTTCTCACTCATGGATACGATACCCCACAACATTTTGTACCCAGCTAGCTCTCTAAATTACAATCGTCAGCGTGACTGAACAAATATCAATAACAGCAAATAAAATTTTTGTCGGATGAAAAAAGCATGCATATTCAAATGAGGATTATCCAATTTTACCCCCCGTTGATCAATTCCTCATAATGCCCCTGCATCTAACGTGGATACTGTGGCGTCCGGATGCGTTTCACCAAGGCACTTCACTGAGTCAAAGAGATAAGATCGTCAGGGACAGATACACCAAAAATCAAGGCAGAGCCGTATAACGAAACAAAGGTACAGTACATACAGTAGGTACACGACACGCTTTCGGTCTGTGTCCATCCTGTCTCGATTTCTATCAATCAATCGCTGACTGTTCCGAACCCGGTGCCCGTTTCTGACACCCCTTGAAATGTGAATGTGTTGTTCTGTGCGTGGTTTGGCTATGACGTTGGGACCAAGATCGACACAATGTGATTGTGAGGTTGGGACGTTGATGGAGTAACATGGTCAAGAAATTACTCTGATGGTTATAGGTTGAGTGAATGATAATGTCAAAATGCAACAAGCGACAGGTCATTGAGTAAAGGTGTACGTATGAGAATATCTTATAGCCTGATAGTTTTCGAAAGCCACAACTGCCTGAACCGTTTCATGCCCCCTAATGCAAGAATCCTACAATATTTTACAAGGCCTCTCCTTCTAGAAACCTGACTCTCAAAGTCTTTTATTCTAATTTGTATCACTGAAACAGGCAAGCAAAATCCGCTGCCCAAAGGGTATCTGCACTTCCTGAACGCCTTGCAACTAAACACCTAACACCCCCCCAGCCAATTCTAAAAGACACAAGAGTCTGATGCAACTCTTTGTTTCGAAGCATCGTTGAAATCGATTGATTCAATATGTTGTCGAGACCAATTGTAGTCTCCAAGGAGCATGTGTGCATGTGTGTAAAAGCAGTAATAATTGTAGTAGTAGTAAAAGGAGATGTGTACTGATAATGCAAAGGTCGAAAAGGAGCATAATGTGACAAAAGTCCTGATAAACGCCCTGGAAATGCGACTTGTCTGTTGTCCGTCCGTTCCTGATCAGACTGCTTGGTCGTGTCCGAAGTCCTCTTCTGCGGGTCGTATCGTAATTTGTATATCCATGACCAAACTCGTATTCTCCCTTTTCTTTTCTCTTCCTGTCTTCTCGTTCTCTCGTACTCAAAACATGCCGACTTCCTTGCTTCATTCAATTTATGTCTTTCATCGTCGGGGCCGCTTCTCACGATCACTTGACAAACTTCCAACTCCTTCTTCACTTCGCCTCTTTCGTCCTCGATCCTCACGCCCATCGCGGCGATCCTCCGGTCGTAGCCCTCCGTCACGCTGTCCTCCACGACCGCCTCCTCTACCGCTGCCTCCCCAATCTTCACCACTTCGGCCACTTTGACCATCACCTCTGTGTCGCCCTTCACGACCTTGAACAAGGTCTCTACCACCTGTTGGGGGAGGGCCCATAGGCTCACGTGGAGCACCACTTTGATCTCTGTTACTCCTCCTAGAATCCCTCTCTTCTCTGCCACTTTCGCCAGCCCCTGATCGACGGTCCCGATATTCGCGATGTTCCTTGCCCTCACGTTCTCGGCCTGGACTACGATCCCGCTCTCGTTCACGACTTCCTCGACGTGAAGCGCGGCTGGACCTACTCTCACGGTCACCACGGCGACTTCGGTCATGCTCGCTACGACCTGAGCTTTCCTCGCCATTGGCAGGCGCCCGGCTTGACGATTCGTTCCTAATAGGATCTTGACGTTCTTGAGCTGGTGTAGCAGTGGGAGAACCCCCAGTCAAGACTTGGGCATCAGAATTACCAAGGGTTTGGCGTGAATGCCGATTTCTTCCGCTGTTGCTTCGGCTCACATCCGGCATGTTGGCCTGCGCTTGTTGCAGGGTGCTGTTGATGCCTGCGAGCTGTCTTCGCCCACCACCATTGCGAACACGCTCGTTTGAGGAGGCTGGACCGGTGGGTACATTAGGCTCACCAACTGGTGATCCTGCATAGCTGCCAGGTGTCTGTCGTTGCCCAGGACCAGGACCTCGGTCGGGAGTGTTAGTCCCAGGCATTGACTGGCGATTGTGACCATGATTGTGGCCATGAGGCTGAGATGGTGGCGGTCCAGGAGGTGGGGGAGGGACTGCACCGATTTGTGCACCAATTTGTGCAAGACGCTCTGGATGGACCCCTGAAGGCGTAGCATTAGTGGATGCAGGAGAAGGCAGACCCTGGTTGGGGCCGGTATTTCTCAATCGGTTTTGAGGGCCGCTGGGCGTGCCTGAAGGAGTGACAGGGCCATTATTCTGCTCAAAACCACCACGTCTTCCTCTGCCCGACGCCGGGCCAGTAGGGGGAGGTCGATCCGGAGTAGGAGGCTGTTCAGCCTCCGCACCAGCAAACCTGGCGTCAAGTCGACCTGGCAGCCCTTGTGGTCCACCATGACCTCTAGTTGAGCCTCGTCCACGGGCTCTTGGTCCGTAAGGAATATCAGTGACATTCTGTATCGAGTTGAGACGTCCATAGGAATCATCTTGATGGGGCGGCTTGTGCTCAGGCTCAGGAACTCGAGAAGGAGTTCCATGGAAACCAGAAGCATCGCGACCCTTGGGTGCAGAAGCTCGCTCAGCCTCACGGTCCGTTGGTCTCTCGCCGCGGTATGGCGATCGCTCCCGAGGATCTCTCCCAGAAGAAGGTCGGTGCTCCACAGGATAGTTGCGATCATGTCGGTCTTCACGTCCACCTTCAGGCTGACCACTCTCATGCCCATACCGACCACCTCGTCGAGGTGATTGAATGCGAGCGTTGTGATCTCGTGGTTCGTTCCGAGGGGCGCGTGAAGGTGTGTTGTCTCTGTTACCCATCAAGGCCGCCCTCTCTGGGTTGATCGTATCCATTGGCTCTACAGGAGCGTTTTTACGACCTCTACTAGCCCGGTCAGAGTCGGGTGCACGAGCCCGTTCGTTGTCTTGAGCAAACAGCGCAGCTCTTTCTGGGTTGATATGTGGCTCAGGTGCCTCAACAGCTGCAGCGGGTGCTGTAGGGGCTGGGGTAGGCGTTTCGTTCAAGCGACCATGATCATGACTCCTGCCGCCCTTGGAATCTCTAGTTCGGTCTCGCTCATGTTCGCCACGACGAGTTGATCCGTCAGCTCGAGCTGATTCCCGGCCGTGATCCTGTGTTCGTCGCTCAGAGAAGTCGCGTGGACGATCAGGACGAGCAGGATCAAAATTTCGAGAATCGCGCTGTTCCCGTGATTCACGAGGTTCTCTAGGCTCCCGCTGATCTCGAGCATCACGAGTTTCCCTAGGCTCACGAGAATCTCTAGAGCGTGAATCTCGGGGCTCCTTACCATCACGACGCTCATGTCCACGGGATTGATTAAATCTTTCGGGAGTGTAGTGCGCAGGGATAGGCACATCAGGTCGGCTGGGGAGGGTATGAGGTGGCCGTTCGGGAAGTGTATTAGGTCGAGAATCGTGCTTCGCGCCAGCACCAGCTCCAGAATTATTATTGGAGGCGCGGGGACCAGATGGTGTATGGTCGCGTTTTGAATCCCGAGACGATCCTGGTTTGGCTGGCAACAAGTCCTTCGCCGGGCCTGTGGGCTTTGCTGGATCTGTCACTGAATTCTTGACGTCTTTGCCATCCTTGACCTCTCCATCTTCCTCCTCAGCAGTCGTTTGTTTCCCTCTTGGTTGCCTAATTCTGTTAGACTTGATATATCTTTGTCAGAGATAGCAACTTACTTGTTGGGACCGGGTTTGAATTCCGGTGCACTTGCACGCAAATTGGACGCCTTGTCTGTTTCGTTCTGGGCAGCGCCAGCCTATTAAGGGTCAGTGATGTTCGCAAATCTAGTATCGTAGCACTTACACCACCAGGGCGGAAAGCCTGGACCATGACCCATTTGGATTTCCTCCTCTGAAGTTCTGACATGGCACCCTGAGCGGCGACTGACAGGTCGACACGTCCGCCAACCTCGCTGTCAGGAGAAGGTTTGGCAGCACTCTCTTGCTTGGTGATAGTTTGGAGAAGGCTTGAAAACTTTGTAGCCATGAAGTCGATAGCTGGGAAGAAATCAAGGACCGCCTTCAGTACTGTGATGGCATTTCGAATATGCATCCATTCTGTACCCTCCAAACAAGAACGCAGAGCGCTATTGAGGTTCTTGTGCCAGCGGAAGAGCAAGTCACGGAATTGTTCGTGTTCAACAAAGGTCAGTGGCTTGTCATTGTCGTCAAAAGTCAGAGCGAACCCAAGGCGGGGCTGATCAGCTGGCCCCTTGGCCTCCTTCTCATATGCGCCCAATCTTGGCTGGTCTCTTGACTTGTCCTTTTCATTGGGAACCGTCGCGTTCTTGTGCCAACGTGACAGATCTTCAAGAATAAGCTTCAAAAAGCGGCCAAGATACTCGGCCTCCATGACAGTAGATGTGAAAATAAGAGCCCTCAGGCGGTTGGCGTTGAACAGACGGTCATAAAGTGACATCAGCTGGAAGCCTGGGGCATTACCTTCGTGCAGTGCCTTGATAAACTTGTATGTATACTCGGCATCAGCCTTGGAGAGAAGCATGCGAGGGATGAAGCATTGCTCGAGTAAGATATCGGATATAGTATCTGGCTTGGCCCGAGGTTCTGGGAAAGACGTTTGGAACTGCTTGTTCAGGTAAATTTTCCATTTCGCCTGGCGCAGAAGATGTTCACTGTTTTCTTCTGAAAGCCCGATCTGGAGCTGCATAAGCTCTTTTCGTTTTTCCACTTTGCGTTCTTGTCCACGTCTTGACATGTCGCTTCGATCTCGCGAGATAGCGACCTCTTCCGCTCTGAGGCGATCTTTCTCTTGTCTATAAATTTTGTCTGGACAATAGAGGTCACCTAGCTGAAGAGCCCAGAAGTTCGCATAGAACTCTGGGGTGATCTTCTGCCAGATCTCAGGACGAACAGTATCTTGGATGCCTTCCACAATGGGCTGTAATGCTGACTTGACAAGAGAGGAATCTTCCGACTTCTGTGATTGTTGTGAATTAGTTGCGGGGTTCGGTGCTGGTGAGTTTTGAGCACCAGCCTGTTCTTCAACCTGCAGCGCTTCTTGGCTGGGTGTTTCGTTGCCGCCGGATGCAGCAGGCGTATCAGCCATTGAAACGTCGCCTTCTTTGTCTGTAGATTGCGCGATCTGAGCCTTGTCCTTCGCCTCGTCAACCTTTTTCTGCTTCCATGGATGCATCCGATGAGAAAGGCTGGCCCTGCCAATAAGAAAAGCCAGACTGGGGTCGAGACCGTATGAATGGATGAGTTCAGGGATCGAAGGCACAAGGTCGTCGAAGTTCGATGGGTCCATGTTGCTCCAGAGCAAATCGAGGTATTGGATCAAAATGCGATGTGAATCGTCAATCATCGAGGACAGATATTTGATGTGGGCTTCATCTTCCGGCACATGAAACGGAGCGGCTTGTCGGTACTGCGCCAGGTTAATGAGCAACTGCGCGGCAAGTTTGGACTCTGTCAAAGCTTGGATGAGACGTTTTGAACTCTTGATGTTCTCGAATCGCTTATCCTGGCCTCGGATTAGAGTATGACGCCGCAGGTATTCACCTCCAGCCATGGATAAAATTTGAATGTCAGTGAAGTCAACCGAGTCAACAATACCACCCATCGAAGTAATGAGCTCCTTTAGAATAATAAGGTCGGTGGAGTTGCCCTTGATGAGCTGATCGTTGACATATTGCAAGACTGGCGTGGCATTGAGAACCGTGTATCGTCGAAAGACTCTGCCAGAGAATCTTGACAAGGCCTGTAACCATTTGCTGGTAGTGAGAGCGTGTTCAGCTTGAGTACGGCTCCTTGATTTGCCGAGAGAGCTCATCAAGGACCACACAAGCACATCGTAAGAGAGGTCTGTAAAGTACTTGGCGCACTCCACAAAAGCGTCGATTAGGTTTGGATAGGACTCCAATTGCTCGAAAGCAACCCTGAAAACGATACCAGGAGATGAGTAGCTGGTTTTGGCGAGCTGCTTGGCCATTTCGCTCAAGTTTGTGAGAGAAACTCGCTTCATGGTGCCCCTGGTTTCCGATGTAGCCTTTGCAAAGGCTGCCTTCATAGCAGGCAGCCGAGAAATTTGTCCCTCAAACCATTCGGCGTACATGGAGTAGCGAGTAGTCATGGGATAATGCCTTAGAAGCTCCCAAATAGCGTTGACAGCTGAGGCATTGGCCTTGGTATGACTCAAAGCTGGCATCAACAGTCGTCGAAGTAGATCGTGCCATCGGGTAAGATTGCGCTCTGATTTGTCCTCGGCAAGGCTCTTGGCTCCAATTCTAGCCAACTTGGTCAATAGAGCCTCATCTTTGCCAATATTGACACCAGAAATGTTGAGAAGTGTCCCACAGAGAGTGAAGATATCATCCACGGTCTGACAGACAGGGATGTTGTCGGCCCACTCGTCCCAGTAGTATCGATAATTTTGCGATTCGTTTGTGTCGATTTTATCCGGGAACGGCCACCTCAGAGACTTGCGGGTTATTAATCTGCTCAATCGAACACTGCCTTTGGGTAGTCCGGACTGATCGAAATCCGGGACAAATTTAGTTGGACATCCGGTCTCGCCGACCACGATAGGTCGGCTGTCGCGGAAGACCTTGTCAACGCAATGATGAAGAATACGATGAATCCGTTCAAGGACCTCGGGGAAGACCTCTGGGATCCATGGGAAGCGACCAAGAATGAATAGCGATTCTGGGATAGCTCCGATGGTTAACAGCTGGGTGAGCAATGCTACCTTTTGTTCCAATGGTTCTGGGAGTTTTGGCTTGGCGTCTGCAGCTTCTGCAGCAGCCTCTTTCGTCTCTGCTTCAACCTTCTTGGGAAGTTCTCGTCTAGGCAGGTTCGAGCTGTTGGGGTTATCATCGTCGCCTTGAGGCAGGACACCAGCCATGAGAAGGGCATTCATCGGACCACCGCGGGAAGATCGTTCCTCCTCCTCGATCCTCTTCAGTTCCTTCTCTTTGACTGTTTCCATGTCTTCATCGGCTGGGGAAAGGTGTGGGTAAAGGTCGGTCAAGGAAATAAATCCGATCTTGACAAGAAGAGCAGCCAAGTATAGAAGATTGGCGGGGAGTACGTCTGTCACGTCGCGAGCATCGGAGTTGTAGAAACGCAACTTGAAGCCGAGCAGTTGTGCAGCCGTTCTGTTGCCAGGGGGTGGAAGGGTTTTGGTTTCCTGCACCCACTGCCTTTCGATATCAGCGGCAGCATCATCGCCCTTGGCACCGTTGGTTATAGTAAGCTGTTGCGAGTCCGAGTCGGCGACTTGTCGACCACCAAGCTCAAAGAAAGCTTCCATGTGAACTTCCCGAGCTCGGTCCCAGAAAGCAATATCTCGAACTCGCTTCTTCTCCTCTAAGAGCTTCTCATCTTCTTCTGTCGTTGTCCACTGCGAGTAGTCCGGGGTTGCCCATAAGGGTAAACCACCAACATAAACTGCAGCACTGAATTTGAGATGAGATCGAGGCCACCAGGAGCTAACTCGTAGAAATTTGACGAAGAACTTGAACTGCTTAATGAGAACAGCAGCTGCAACGTCAAGGGTTACGTCCAATACCCTGCCGACGTCAAGATCAAAGGTGCCGATCAGAGCCTTGATTCGTTCGAAGGTCTGTTCTGCCATTTCGGGAGGAGGGGGAGTCACACTGCTAGTTGTAAAAAGTTCCGTAATGAGCTTTGAATATCCTTCCGTCTCCTCCCGAAGCAAGTTGTAGTTGGCTTGTCGATACAGAAGGTTTGTTGCTTGTTTGATACCTAGTTTGACAAAATTATCTCTAATAAGTCCTATCCGCTGCAAGACTTCAGCTTCGAGCACCTGCCGCATTAGGTTGGACGATACGCCGGATGTCAGGACAAATTCGCGAAGAGTCGGCCTGTAAATGGCGGGCTCGTTATCCATGACTATGGACAAGGAGTCAAGAAATAGAGTGTGGGGAGCGAACGCGTATGAATCCTTAATAATCTCCGTCGTTTCGTCTCCAAGAATTTCCTTGACGCAGGCACCCGCATCGGCTGGTGGTAATCGAGCTTCGACAACTGCGTGTACAAACTCTTGGAACAAGCTTGACAGCTCTGTGATGTCGACATCTTCCCGCGACTGCTTTCCGTGCTGGATGATTGCATTCCGACCACTCTCAGCCCAAGCGCTAATCTTCTCGTCCGTAAGATTATTATAGCGATAGTTAGAACGGACCGGAGAGGGCGGTCGCAACAGCGGAGGCGGTGCATAAGTAGGTCTCTTTATCACTGGCGCAGGAGGAGGTGGTGCCGGTGGCTGTGGTGCATGAGAAGAGCTGGGTCGTCGTTGCGTTGATGAAGGATTCTGTTGATGATTCGGGGGTCCTCGGGTTTGACCTTGAGATGAATCGCGTCGTCCGGGACCTCTAGGCCCTCTACCGCGACCACGTGCCATGTTATCGTCGCGGTCGTGTTGTCCAAGTCCTGTATCACCGGGTCGATGAGGAGAAGATCGACCACCTTCGACGGAATGGCGATCACTTCTCTTTCGTTTACCCGGAGGCATAACTCGCGATAATGAAGTCGTAACTGAAAGCGATGATTATCTCATTAGATGGTGTTGTGATGATGTTGCGATGTCGGATATTATGGAAGTCAAGGTCTGGAAGAGAAAAAATGAGTTGAGTGTTTCGAAAATAGCGGAGGGAGCAGCATTTGTTGCTATCAACGCTGCGGCGCGGATGAAGAAAGACTGACTTTTGACAAGGAGTTCGGGTGGGGAAGGTAATAGTCGCGACAAAGCTGACAAGGGAAAGACTGAAAGAAAAGAAGTTGGTAGTAGTACAAGAGTGCGCAATTATCTTCTGACCTGATAGAAAGAAGCAAGATACGTGTGCGATTGGTTGTTTGCGTTGGGTGAGCCCAGTCGCGATGGGTTTGAGGAGAGAGGAATAAAGCAAAGAAGCTCCAACAAAGCAAAAGCACGGATGGAATTACATGTCACGACGTATTTGCAGCCTTATCCTTCTGGGGAAACGAGGCTGCCAACCACTGGAGGCCAGCCGGCCAGTGGCAGGCACAGCGCCCGCAGGGACCACCTCCAACGGACTCGATGGTACGTACCGCTTTATTGGCATTCATCTCATCGGCTTCAGGATTGAATGACACTTCTGACCTTTGATACCTATTGAATGACCCTCGACTTAGGATGACAATAGAGATAGCGACTATATATATGTAAATTGAGTTATTCAAGCTAAAATTGTCTTATTGTAACTGATTTTAGTCTGGAATCTATCAATTTGATATTGCCGAACCATTCCCCAGACTCGCGCCTGCACGTGATCGCCACCATCTCCGTTGCCGGCCAATTCTTGTATCAAAGAAAGCATCTCAATTGGCTGAGTCATGGCAGTCAATGGAGACCAGCCAGAATTACGCCATAGCAAGGCCCAGGTTTTTTCACATAAACACTCATAGAATCACTTCTTTTGGGTCAATCGAGCTCTAAAGCACTATTGACTAACGTATTTCTACCCGAATAGTCCCAATTCTTATCAGGTTGAGTCACTCTGAGATTGAGCGACTTCAATATCAAAGTTTAAGACCCCGGGAGCGACCCCGGTCCGATCTTTCTGTATAACCTCTCACAATTACATCAGTACAGATATCGTGGAGAGACTTCGACAACCTCATACGATCATGCCAGTTGCGACTATGGCTGAAAGCACTGCTACACACGGCGATTCTCGCAAACACTATGGTCAGTATTTACCTTTATCATTGCATGCTTCTTTCGGCATTTCCCTCCTCCTTTCCCTCATGGTATATCCCTTTCATGCCCCTCTCCCCTCGGCATTATAAAAGACCAGTGGCTGAATACCTGTAAGAAAGAACGCAATCACAGTCTGAGAACCCGTTCTCTGCCCTCATTCCTGAGCAGCAGATAGCGATTGTTCCAGAATTCACTCTCGAGTCCGGAGTTACACTCTATAACCTACCGGTCGCTTATACCACTCGCGGTAAACTCAATGAAGAGGGCAACAATGCCATGGTAATCTGTCATGCTCTCACTGGAAGCGCCGATGTGGGTGACTGGTGGGGTCCTCTACTTGGAGGTCCTGGCCGAGCTTTCGACACTTCAAGATTCTTCATTGTTTGTATGAACAGTCTTGGCAGTCCTTATGGTACTGCAAGCCCAGTAACTGCCAAGGACAATGACCCAAGCAAGGGTCGATATGGACCCGAGTTCCCTCTAACCACCATTCGAGATGATGTTAAGTAAGTTCAGATTCTTATAGATCATCCTGTTCGCTTGAACAAGAAACAATGACTAACCATTGACAGCCTTCACAAGCTCATCCTTGATGATCTAGGCGTGAAGCAACTTGCTGCTGTTGTTGGGGGTTCTCTTGGTGGCATGTTTGTGCTCGAGTGGGCATACTTTGGCAAGGACTATATCCGATGCATCGTCCCTATCGCGACCTCGAGTAGACATAGCGCTTGGGGCATTAGCTGGGGTGAAGCTCAACGACAGAGCATCTACGCCGACCCCAAGTACGACGACGGATATTATTCATTCGATGACCCCCCTTCCACTGGTCTGGGTGCGGCTCGTATGTCTGCTCTGCTCACATATCGAAGTCGCAACTCTTTCGAGTCCAGATTCGGACGCAACATCCCCGACCCATCCAAGGTCCAAACTATTGGAGGTCGACCTCGACCCTCAACTCCCTCAGAGGCACATTTCCACATCCACAACGATGGACATGTTGTAAAGCGTACATCCATATCTCGCCAGAACAGCACAACTGATGCAGCCTCAACTGCTAAGTCACCTGCTGTGCCCGACAACGTAGCGGATCCTCAGTTCCATGGACCTACCAATGGCAGTCTCACTGGAGGAGAGATGCCTCAGTCACACTATTTCTCTGCCCAGTCGTATCTACGATACCAGGGACGTAAGTTCGTTACGCGATTCGACAGCAACTGCTACATTGCCATGACTCGTAAGTTGGACACGCATGACGTGTCACGCAACCGAGCAGACACTATCGCAGATGCACTAGCCATGATCCAACAACCCACACTTGTTTTGGGCATTGAGAGCGATGGCCTCTTCACTTTTGCTGAGCAGGAGGAGATCGCACAGCACGTACCTAATGCACGTCTCGAGCGAATCGAGAGCCCTGAGGGACACGATGCATTTTTGTTGCAGTTTGAGCAAGTCAACAACTACGTTCTCTCATTTTTCAAGGAAGTCTTGCCTGATATCATGTCCAAGGATGGTGAAGCACCTGAGGAGGCCAGTGTTGGGCAAATCACCAAGTCGAGCACATTTGGAGAAGCTGAAGTTGAGGATATTACTGCTTGGTAGATCGCGCTTGGAGTAATGTCAAGATGGCGCCTGATGCCATGCCACAGAAAAGATTAGACAAGAATGAAAATCATGATGACGAGTTCGAATATGCACAATTGTATTGTTAATGCGTTGTCCTCTAGCCGAGTATGATTGTTTCATCGAATCTTATGTCAGATCAGGCTGTCTTGTGACAAGTTCTAGGCACGAACAGTATGCAACATCGCCGATTATATTAGGCAGGCAGCGCAAGTCCAACAGAATGCATATTGGAGCCTGATTTAAACCTGCAGGACTTCAGGAGCCTTAGGAAACAAAATAATTGAGACCTTCAATTACCTTAGGGAGTCCAAGATAATTAATCGGAAGCTTCACAAGTCCACCTTGCGTCTATCACACGGTCGTCTGATATTGTTACTACTTGGGATCGAGATCCTGAGGTTCTCTATATCCCTCCCTGGACGAGATAGAGAACCACTGACTCATACCAACTCCATCATTACAGCAACTGGGATGTCTGAAGTGCACAATGAATATCGTAAGATATTGTAAACTTGAACCCATTGCAGTTAATCCACAAAGTCTCGAAGCCATCCAAGATCACCTTCTATCAGTTCACGTTCTACTTAAGACAATGCCAGGTTTCAGCAGTCGGGTTGAGCTCTGTATCGGCACTTAGACATGCGGGTAAACCCATCAGAGCATTCTAGAACATGCACACATGTTGTTCTAGGGTGACAATGGAACCATGCGATGAAATCAATGACAAGTGCCGAGTCGATCATCACGATGTTACCCGTCCACTTATTAGCCTCATCCACTGCCTAAAGCAATACGCGAGCCCGCGGAAGTGTGCGAGACATTGAGGAAGAGACTACAACTGTCTCAGGACCCTACAAGAAAGGATCTAGAAGAGCCTGAGAAGTGTTGAAGCTTGAAATGCTTACACAATAGTCAATACCCGTTAACTTGGACTCGTGTTTCCCGCTCGTTGTGCCATCTGGTAGCTATCCACACTAACCAGCCTTCTTCCCCCCTGAATGCCACCATCTTTTTCACAATGGTATTTACCATTATCGATATTTGATCTTGTCACATTCACGACGTGAAGCCACCGAGTACATGGCGCTCTATGTTCCACGATGAACGATCGTGGTGGCGGCCAAGCTAAAACATGACGCCGTCCCGAGTGACATGCCTGGAATGTAGATTGATGAAAACAGGACAAAGTTGAGCGGATACGCCAATAACATCGGCACTTCGCTTATTGACGCTCGATGCATTTCTCTCCGAGAGCTGTGTTACTGACTGTTCCAGGTTCATGATTGTTGGATTCGAGGACTACGGCCGTTGAAGGGCCGATCTCTGTCGGGTGCTGCAATTAACTTTGATATCCATTTCAACAAACACGGGTTGAAGATTTAGATGATACTTCGGGCTTATGGGAGCCTGGTTTGTCTTGGGAGACGGCGTAGGGTGTTGTAGTGAACCCTTATGAACTAGATGTTGGTTGATGAAACGACACGTTGGCACACCATCTTCTGAGAAGAACTGCACATAAGGACATGATGTAATAGTTTTCAACCCTTTGCATGAGACCCAGATACTGGCTAGGCATCTCTCTTCTCAGGCGATTTTGAGAGATTGGAATGTGAATCATGTTGAAGAAGCAGCTTCGGCACATGTCCTAACTCCGTATCATATGTAGCAACTACAAGAGAATATCGTAGAATCACCAATGTCTTATGATGATGCACTCTGTCTCTTCCCTTCCAATTACATACCAAGACATGCGCTTAGGCTACTTAGGCTTGCACCGCAGATGTTTCTCGACGTGGAACACTCTGATAGCCCACCGGCCCACTGACTGAGGAATTACTCAGCACTACGGTATCGTCTACAGCTATCGTATGAGGTAAAGGATTCGTAAACCTTTCAAAGTGAGGCACTGCACAAGACAAAAATCGTGACAAGGCAGTGGAGGGCCTTGTGGAAAGTAAACACACGTGGAGCACCGATTGGTTGAATTAGATAGAGGAACCAAACCTTGGCCCCTGTCAATTCTAAGCGAAACAAGAGCTGAGAAGTTAAAAAGGCAACGAGGCGAGAATTTGAACGTGGTGAGACGAGGTAAAAACCCATAAGCGTCGGGCGCTGTACCTTTCTTGGTCCGATTCGGTCGGAATTCATTCTTGACCGAGATGAAATTGAAAACGATGGGGGTTGAAGGGAGTGGCTTGCTTGGCCTTGAGTCAAGAAGCTGTGAAATGTAAACAGAAAAATCTCTCGCAGATTGCCTAGAGGTATTCTTTAGGTAACGGTTTCAAGCGGCAAGCGTCGCAGATTGATAGGATTAGCAAAACAAATCCAGGCACAGAGCAACAGACCCGTAATACGTTACTCTTTTCGTTAATATCAGGCGAGAGCCATTGTTCTTTCTGAGATCCATGCATGCCGTGGCAAACTTGAGAATGCGGCTAGAAGCATTTTCGAAGCTGATATGGTGGAGTCTCTTTGAACAACTGACAACGTGCAAAATATGGGTCCTTGTCTTGTTTTCTCTTGGAGAAATCAGAAAGAGGAAACCCGTTGTCGTTTCACATGTGTGAGTAATGGATAAGTCAGAGTCAGAGTCACGTTTATCGTGTTACACTGTTATCCGTGTTTCTTCATGCGACAGCCGTGCACGACCCAGTCGGGAGCGATCTTGTCGTATGCCGGAAGCCGTCCGTAGGCTCTTTTACGATTGTGTAAGGGAATAAACCCACTGTATTTGTCTGGGCAGATTGCACAATGTGTAGCGTTTACGTACAAACAAGCAAAGAATACGCCCGTTTCGGTGCTTTTTCCTGTCATCAGGTTGTTGAATGGACTGCACGTGTTGATAGTTGCCTCGACAAGAAATGAGGGGGAAGTCGATAAAGATGTTGTGTGATGCAGATAACATTGCCGATCTTTTCAATCCATCGTCATCGATGTGATGATACCTTCGGATGTATAATACGACTCCAGGTCATCACGCGCGTCGATCAAAGGGCGTAAATAGAAGTGAAAGAAACGCCGGTAAAATCATGAAAGTTGCCGTTCGGCGAGATCTGCAACCAAGTGACCGCGGTGAGATTGAGTGGTGAGCTCAATGCGGAATGATGTGGATGATGGATCCATGGAACGACTCTATTGCTTCTGGAAGCTTTCCCATGGCAGAAGCAAACCTCAACGATCGATGCCTTAGGCACAAGGTTTGTCAGTGATTTGTTCTGGAAAAACAGGGGCCAAGGGGTCTTCCTTGTCTGACAATCAAGTCTGACGGAGTGCATCACATCTAATTTCTGTAACACGGCGTCAAATTTGAGAGTTGAAAAGCCCAAGCGAACCAGGGTCGAGATGTCCCTGCGTAAGAATATCACGAAATAGCCTCATTACCATGCAAGCCTCTTATTGAATAAACTCTCTGTACATGGCATCCCAAATCTCACCACACCCAAAAGCTCACTACAAAAACGACCCTGTTCCTTCAAGTGGGGGGCAGCCATCTCAGTGTAAGACGTGGGCGTTAGGTTCGAAAGCTCTCCACCAGGGCGAGTTTGGCCACTGATCTCCGATGGTTTCCAATTGGCTCTTTTGATTTAGTGGATTACAGGGGGTGAGCAAGGGTGCATCTGTTCGAAAAGGGAGTCTCTGAGTCTGGAGTTTTGGGGGACGGGGTCTAGCTGAGCATGAAACCCTGGGCTGAGATTCACCTGAGCGAGATAGACTATCGACTTATCTAGAGCTGGACCTTTTTCCTGTACGAACTCTCATACTATGCTCGAAGTAGGAGGTGGTTAACAGAATGACCTGCCTTGAACAAGGCGGGCCTTGTGGGCTCTCTAAAAGCATGGGCAACTTGGTGTTCCATTCATCTCAGTGGTCTGCATCCAATACTCAACTCTTACTGGTTCGGGGAGACTCAAGTGGGTGTGCAGTGGACTTTCCATCTTGCTTCTTCCTCGGCTTCCACAGTGGGCAGTGGCTTGGCCGGAGATTCCATTATGGAAGGCGTGCGCAGATGCGTCTCCACCATTGCACCTGCCTCAAAATCACCACCCACCCATCCATCACCCAGGCATCCCCCATCCGCTAGAAGGAAGGTATTGTACCTTGACAAGCACGGCCTCGCACGCTATATCCGGCCGTATTCTCAATCAATCCCAACTGTCTGGGCCCGTCAGGATTCCTCTCACTTCCCCATTTCATCTATTATTGTTGTTGGTGAAATCGTAATATTTTGTTCATTCTATTACCTCTTCTTCCCTATACATTGCTAGGGCCTTGCCTTATCTTTACCTGCATCGCCAACTATCGCATCCCCTCGACACCTACGAACCCGCATACTCCGACGGTCAACTACGCCGAAACCCCGATCCATGGTATCGATGTCGAACTTGAACTGTAGAACAACTCTCTCTTGCCCTCGATAAATCATCGTCGATTAATTTGGGGGTATTGGATTAGAAGGAAGTTACATACTGGTCTTGATATTGGAACATCGCCTTGAGCGACCACCACCTTCGAACTGAGGTGAACAACTCGACAACCACGAACCACAATTTGGGGAAACGACGATATTATTGGATTGATCAGACTGAACTGGAAATAATTGAAAGAGTTGGATCAATTGCTGCGAAAATCATAAACATTCAGAGTTTTGATTCTATGCATTCCTGATCTCTTAACGGACCAGCACCCGAAGAGGTGGAGATCGGTATCGCGAAACTCATCCCGAAGCATCCCCATACAGATCGACCCATGTCGTCGATTACGGATATCATCGCTCCCGATATTTACTCGCCTTAAACTTCAAAATGCCAGACTACGACGAGGACATGCTGCCACCCCCAGCATCAAGCTCCCAGCAGGATCGCACTTGGGGTGGTAATAACGCTTTTCACAACTTTTTTAACGACTTCTCTCACATCCCCGACCCAAATCTTCGCCGCCGTCTTGCTTTATCTGAGATTGATAAAGTTCCCTTTGGTGCATACCGTATGTTACTTGTCTTTAGCTTATTTTTTAACAGTTATTGTTGAAGCTTATACTGACCATATCAGATGTCCGCGCTGTATTAGTAGCAGGTGTTGGTTTCTTTCTGGACTCTTACGATATCTTT